CAAAGCAAATTTTCACATCTGAAAAATTAAATGTGATTATGTTCAGAAATAAAAAAAAAAACATAAGGGCTATTTAAGGCACCCAAGAACAAGTAGGAATTACAGACTTTTAAAAATCAAGTAGTTTTGTTACAGTTAATAAATAAAGAACACTATCAAAACACCAAAATTATTTGATCAGAGTGTAAAATCTAAAAGAACTGAATTTTCCAGAGGCTAATAAAAGGTTATCTGAGGACACGGAAATTCAAATTTCCTTCAAAGTGGTAAAATGCAAGTACAAACAAAGAACTTGATTTGCCAGCCTTCAGCCCAGAACTGCCCTCTTCCCACAGAGCCTGGAGATGTGCCAGGCTCCTACGCCTATTCTTGACTTTATGACAGAGGGTGTTCTTTTCCTGTGAGCTTTTCTGGGCATGAGAGAACATATCCTAACCAAGATGAAGCTTTGCCACAGAGCAGAACTATCCTAAGGATAATGTGGCAATGTTTTGTAAAACCTAGCAGCCAGATTTTCATTTCTGCAGACAAAGCCAGCCTTCAGCACATTGTGAAGGAGATGGCGTTTCCTCAGTACAAGCCGTTACCCATCACTGAGCATTCAGTGCCCTCACACTGCACCCTAACTTCCCACAGACCCTCGCCCTGAGTAGCATTCATGATGTAGGTCTATGACTTGAAATCCTGGCTGCACCAAAGCTTTATAACAATACCACTGCTTAGGCACAACCCCCAGGGATTCTGATTTAATTGGTCTGGGGTGGAGTCTAGGCATGGTTTTTTGTTCTTTTGCTTTATTTTATCTCCAGCTCCCCAGATGATATTCTTGTTCAGGCAGAGTTAAGATTCACTGATGTAGAAGAACAATATTTCTCATTTGAGTCTGCAGACCACTACAATCACCAGTGATGCTTAAGGGATGGGGTGGAAAAGGTGAAGAGGATTAGAAATTACAAACTGCCAGTTACAAAATTAGTCACGGGAAAGTAAAGTACAACATAGATAAGATAATTAATAATAGTATAATAGTTATGTATGATGTCAGATGGGTACTAGACTTACCATAGTGATCACTTCACAAGGTATATGAATGTCTAATCTCTATCCTGTACACCTGAAACTAATACAACATTGCATGTCAACTCTAACTGAAAAATAATTTTTAAAGTGAAGATTCTTGAGTACTCAGATATTCTGAATCTTCATTTTAACAAAACACCCCCGGTTACATTTAAGAACAAATTTTTCCCTTATTAAAACTTACCCATCTTCCGTCCCATTTTCTACTAATTAGATAGACTAATCCAAAACAATGTGAGAATGGGTGCTGTTGAAGTCAAGTGCTACTTTTTTTATTTTTCAATTACATTTGACATTCAATATTATATTAGTTTCAGGTATGCAGCATAGTGGTTAGACATTTATATAACTTACAAAGTGATTCCCCAATAAGTCTAGTGTTCCCTTGATACTATCCATATAAAATTATTACAGTGCCGGGGTCCAACCCCAGCAGGTCCAGGGGTCCCCAAAGGCGTAGACGGAGTCGGCGAAGAAGGAATGACATGGAGACAGCGTTCAGTTGATCAGCAGGCTAGCCAGGATCTCCAGCCAAGTTCTGGTCTGGATCTCCAGAGAGGTTCTGCTTAGGATCTCCTGCCAGGGTCTGTGTCCATGTTCTCTTGCTAGGCTCTCCAGGTCCTCCAGCCAGGTTCTGTAGCCAAGTTCCCTCACTAGGTTCTCCAGCCAGGTTCAGTCCAGGTTCTCCAGGCAGGTTCAGTCACCAGGTTCTAGTCAGGTTCTCTTGCCAATTTCTGTAGTCAGGTTCAGTCCAGGATCTTTTGCCATGTTCTCTCCAGCGAAGTTCTTCTGTCTGTAGGTTCTGTGTAGGTTCTGTCTTCTTAGTTCTGTGTTCTAAGCTCTGTATTCTGAGTTCTGAGTCCTAAGTTCTGTGTTCTAAGTTCTGTGTCCTAAGTTCTGACTCTCTTGGTTCCGTATTCTAAGTTCTGTCTCTTGCTGTCTAGTTACAACTGTATTTATACCAGTTGATTCAATCCTATCAATCTCTATTACAAAGGTTAGGGCGTTTCTTATCTCCATTCCCGGGAGTAAAGATTATGTAGCTTAAGCATGATTGTTCGTAGTTAAAGTGATTAATTACCCACCTGGCACTAGTTAAGAGGTTTTATTCCCTCCCTAACTTCAGGGGAAAATCCCTACCTGGGGAAACAACCTTTCTCAGAGACCTTGGTTAAAACACATAGTGCCAAGAAGGTGAGCAAACATATTAAGAACAGTATGCCATATATGCCAGGTCCCTTGAAACAGCAAGCATGGACCGGCTCCCGGCAAATTCCCCCTTTTTTATTTTTTAAAGGCATGCATTAAAAAGAAAAACCTCAAATGCTCTCTTGTATCCATTTTAAGAGTAGGATTGGCGCTTTCCGCTATTACCTGAGTCCTGATCTATCACCCCAGGGAGAGCTTGCCAATCCTGCACTTTTCCGGGGTGGAAAGGCTGCAGTGGGGTTAAGGATAAGGCTCCTTGGGCCTACCTTCTCCCATGCCTTTACATTTACCTTTCCTTCCTCAGAAAAGCATGGACATACTTCTTGTATAAAACGTTCTGTCTGGGAGTAACCTTAATTCCTCTGCTAGCAAGCATATGTGTTAAAAGATCAATACAGAGTCTTTTTTCTTTAGACTCAATATGGCACATCTTCTTAATCTAAAGATCAATACAGAGTCTTCTTTCTTTGGACTCAGTATGGCACATCTTCTCAATCTAAGAATCAATACAGAGTCTTCTTTCTTTGGACTCAGTATGGCACATCTTCTCAATCTAAGTTCTGTACTATCCACCTTCTTACCCTACTTATCCTCTGTAGGGGGGTCTGCAGTACCCTGGTGGAGTCCTATCCGTCCCGAGTGTGGGGGTTCTCAATGGGGGGGGGGGGGCTTACCTAGGGTAATCCTGTTCCAGGGCTTCCCAAAGGTGTGGACGGAGTCGGCGAAGACTATCCACCCTCTCCTACGGTGGAGTCCTATCCATCCCGAGAGTGGGGCGCTTACCTAGGGATCCCTGTTCAGGCGCCATATGCCGGGGTCCAACCCCAGCAGGTCCAGGGGTCCCCAAAGGCGTAGACGGAGTCGGCGAAGAAGGAATGACATGGAGACAGCGTTCAGTTGATCAGCAGGCTAGCCAGGATCTCCAGCCAAGTTCTGGTCTGGATCTCCAGAGAGGTTCTGCTTAGGATCTCCTGCCAGGGTCTGTGTCCATGTTCTCTTGCTAGGCTCTCCAGGTCCTCCAGCCAGGTTCTGTAGCCAAGTTCCCTCACTAGGTTCTCCAGCCAGGTTCAGTCCAGGTTCTCCAGGCAGGTTCAGTCACCAGGTTCTAGTCAGGTTCTCTTGCCAATTTCTGTAGTCAGGTTCAGTCCAGGATCTTTTGCCATGTTCTCTCCAGCGAAGTTCTTCTGTCTGTAGGTTCTGTGTAGGTTCTGTCTTCTTAGTTCTGTGTTCTAAGCTCTGTATTCTGAGTTCTGAGTCCTAAGTTCTGTGTTCTAAGTTCTGTGTCCTAAGTTCTGACTCTCTTGGTTCCGTATTCTAAGTTCTGTCTCTTGCTGTCTAGTTACAACTGTATTTATACCAGTTGATTCAATCCTATCAATCTCTATTACAAAGGTTAGGGCGTTTCTTATCTCCATTCCCGGGAGTAAAGATTATGTAGCTTAAGCATGATTGTTCGTAGTTAAAGTGATTAATTACCCACCTGGCACTAGTTAAGAGGTTTTATTCCCTCCCTAACTTCAGGGGAAAATCCCTACCTGGGGAAACAACCTTTCTCAGAGACCTTGGTTAAAACACATAGTGCCAAGAAGGTGAGCAAACATATTAAGAACAGTATGCCATATATGCCAGGTCCCTTGAAACAGCAAGCATGGACCGGCTCCCGGCATTACAGTATTATTGATTACATTTCCTATGCTGTATTTTACCATCCCATGACTATTTTGTAACATTTTGACAAAGTCTCCTGAAGAATTTCTGTGGTAGGCCAGTGAAGGTGGTTTTGTTTGGTTGGTTATGGGGTGAGGGGAGGAGACAAACCTTATTGTACCTCTCAAATCCTATTGTACAGGTAGTTTCCTACTTCATTTGAGGCATCTCCGGTGAGCTAAGGCTTAGTCAGTAAAAGAGAAAAGTTTTGATCCCTGGAGCTAAGCTCCTAAGCCCCACTAGCTCCATCTTTTTTTAACTTTTATTTATTAAGGTATTAGCTCCATCTTATGGCTCCTTGCCTCATGGGTGACCAACTCCACAAAATGGCCATGTTTTCATTAGATTTATTAAACTCAAAGTGAATATTTACCAGCACCTACCCATTTCTCTTCAATTATGTAAACATTTGTGGCTTTTTTTCCCATGCCATTGCCTTATATCAGTGGTTCTCAACCTTGGCTGCACATTGCAATCACCTGGCAAGCTTAAAAAAAATACATATGTCTGGGTCTGATCTCCCAGGTTCTGAGTTAACTGGTCTTGGGTGGACCTAAGCATAAGATTTTTTAAAAAGATCTCAGGTGATTCTACTGTGCAGACAAAGCTGAGAATCACTTACCTTAAAGGAAACAATGCAGTCTTCCACAGGTATGGGTGGCCCAGCAAACCTCACAGGAGGAAGATCCAATAAGTACAATTATTACATGTAACCTGGAGCTGGTAAAAAGAAGATATTTTCCTGAAATTAAAAAAAAAAAACCTGCTTTGAACCCATATAGACCTAAAGAGCATTATGCATGTATCATCATATGCCATCATAACATGGGTGGTTGTTATTAACGTGCTACTTTTGTTTGATGTGTTAATTCCCTAATATCGTTTACTTCCCTCCCTCATCAGCTACACTAAAACCAGTCCTCTTTTCAGAAATAAAGATAAGGATTACTTAAACTGAAATCTGGCCCCTCTGGGTCTGAATTTGCCTTTGTTTCATTTTGTAGGTCACTCTCTGGGCGCATTGTTGGAGGGGTTTGGTGGTTCTTCACCCTGATCATAATTTCTTCCTATACTGCCAATCTCGCTGCTTTCTTGACTGTGGAGAGGATGGTTTCTCCCATAGAGAGTGCTGAAGACTTAGCTAAGCAGACTGAAATTGCATATGGGACCCTGGACTCTGGATCAACAAAAGAATTTTTCAGAGTAAGTTCTTTACATTTAATTGGGCTTGCTGGTTTTTATTGTATCATCTTCTCACAAAGGCAAATTCACAGTGCTATAAGGGAGGGTTAGAAAAGAGTGGGAATGTTATCAAGGCAGAGAATCTTACTAGTAAATATAGCACTCCTTAGTTGCTGACTTAATTCATTGTCCTTTAGAACTAAGACTTGTGTGTGACATAAGTGGCATGCCAAGAGCTCTAAGCTTGAACTGCCAGGTTTGAATCTCAATCCTGCCACAAAGTGATTGTTTGTCCTTGGGCAAGTCATTTAACTTCTGTCAGTCTTGGTTCCCTTCCTTGAATAATGAGGGTATTGAACTAAATAATATATGTTCTCCTTTCTAGCTTTTACAAAAGCAGTGATTTTGAGTCTCAGCAGTTCACAGAAGTTAGGTAATTGACTCTGTCTAGGACTCTGAAGACTGAAGGACTATAAAATTACCTATTCTATTTTAGACATTGGCTTTCTATTGAAATGTATTACAGTTGTTTCAAGTATTAATGGACATGCTGATAATTTAATTTTCAGGGAAGCAATAATTGTTTTTAAATTTCATGAAACTTATTTTCCCCTCTAACTCCCTCCCTGGAGGCCAACTCTTGGTGAGGAAACAGTAAATTGTTCACTAGCAAAAGTTACATAAACACTATCAAGAGGAAAGATGAAAGGAGATGGAGACAGAAAATTATAGAAGGATAATGTGATGAACAAACCACTTATACATAAATTATCAAGATCTTTGTTCTGTAGTAACTGGACTATAAGAAAGGCTACCAGTGGACTGTTTAAGAACTCAAATATTTTTTCAGTTGCCCCAACCAGGAAAATATGGTGGTTGATTAGAAAATGAAACCATTCTAGCCCGGCCAGCATGGCTCAGTGGTTGAGTGTTGATCTATGAACCAGGAGATTACAGTTCAATTCCTGATCAGGGCACATGCCTGGGTTGTGGGCTCGATCCCCAGTGTGGGGCATACAGGAGGAAGCCAATCAATGATTCTCTGTCATCACTGATGTTTCTCTCTCTTCCTCTCCCTTCCTCTCTGAAATCAATAAAGCAATATTTTAAAAAATAAATGAACCCATTTCACACATTACCACTGCCTGCTACTATAATCACTGCAACTGGTTGTAGCATTGATCCAGAAACCACCTGTGTAGTAGGTAGAGAGGAAGCATTTAGTCACTCTTGCCAACCTATAATCAAGTTATTGGAAGGCAGATATAGGTACTGACTTTTCCTCAAAGGTCCAGAGTAAACAGATGTTGGTTATAAACCAGCTTGTTTTAATAAATCATAAAGAAATATATTTTTACATATATCATCATGAGATTGGTCCAATTATTTCATGGGAAACCAGAGGGAGTGTGTTTCTTGGAATTATGGCAATTAACTAAAAGCTGTTTTTCATTCCCTGGAGAAGAAAGGGTTAGTTCTGAAACCCTTCAAGAATTTTCATTGGCTCTGAATACTCTTTACACTTCTACCATTGTTGACCAAATAGATCATAATCCCCAACCAGGGAGAGAGGTCCAGTATTGGAAGCATCAAAATAATACAAAGACCCTCTAGAACAGTGGTTCTCAACCTTCCTAATGCCGTGACCCTTTAATACAGTTCCTCATGTTGTGGTGACCACCAATTTCATTGTTACAAATTGAACATAATTAACGCATAGTGATTAATCACATAGCAATATGTAATTATATATGTGTTTTCCGATGGTCTTAGGCGACCCCTGTGAAAGGGTCATTCGACCCCAAAGGGGTCGCGACTCACAGGTTGAGAACCGCCGCTCTAGAACTAACCTGGCCTTGACCCTCACTACTTTGGAAGTCCCAGAAGCTTCTCTGGGAATAATTCCCCGTCCCCATGAAATCACTCACACATTTCGGGGCAGGAAGCCAGGGATTTCCATCTGCTGAGTAGTCAGCACATAATCTGCTCCATGGAAATCTGGTTTGGTATCAACTTCAACAGAGCTTGCGTTCACCATCCAATAGGCTTCAAGTCACTATAGGAAGTAATTGACCACTTACGCTATCAAGACACCAAACTTAGACCCTCTGATAAGACATACTTGTTCCACTGGAAAGCACTTTTCCTTTAACAATGATTAGAAATTAGGAAGGTGTGCTTTAAATGGTAATCGATAGATGGCATCAATTCCCATTAAGCTTTCAAAAGCATTCATCCTTATTGCAGGCAAAGGAGTCTCTCTGGGAAGATTTATTAGCACAAAGGCTTGAAAGTGTGACCAAATAGTCATTATCCCCATGCCCAGACCCCATCCCCCATGCACTTTGTGTCACTCTCAAAAACGAGGAAAGCATCTACTAATCCATGAAATGATGGTTTCATTAAAGAGCATCATATTACTGGAGTCCATTTGAATCAACATTTAATTCTGAACAAAGCTATTGCCACATTCTAATTGGTTTGCAGTTTCTAATGCTCACCAATTCCTAGTGACCTTTACAGCCAATGAATAATTTGTATGGAAATGGAGCTGTTTTGAAAAATCTAACTAGAGAAGGAGGTGGATATTTCTAGGTATAAAGAAGTGCAAAGCATTTTCTAATTCCAGCATCTGCCACTTTTTCTTTTCCCCCAATTGGTTGCTGGTGACAGCACTGGGACTCCATAGGAAAGTGCTTCAGGGCAGCACACAAGGTTGATGATCTAAGAGTGGAAGTGAGCAGTATAGAAAATTCAACTCTTTAGTTTGCTTGCACTAAAATGTTATGTAAAACTAACAAAGGGTAAGCTTGGTATTCATATAATACTGGGGGCCCAACCAGTTGGTCTCTAAGCCACTTGTCCTCTTTGTATCCTCCACTCCACCCTCTTTGAGCCCCATAGATCAGATAAGACAGCCAGCAATAACACATCATCTCTCAGGGACTTAACTGCCATAGCATGTCACTTCCCTCTCAACCTTCGATAATCTCAAGGCAAGTTTAAGAACAGTAACTCCTCCACACATGAAAAAATTGGGAACCTCTGATTGCATGCTTTCTGAACTTTAGAGGATAAAACAAGATCACATGCAACATTTACAAACATTACATGAGCTCATTTCTTCCCATTTTCACTCCATACTAAAACCACAGGGATCAAATAGCAATACCATAAAACAGCCTGGGGCCAGCCCTCTAGTTATTCCACTAAGAGAGAGAAATAAATAAAATAAAATTCCTTTCTAATTGCCCTGCAGACATTTTTACTCATCCTGAGTAAGGCAGCCATTAAAATGATGGTATTTTTTAATGATTCCTTTGTTTCTCTCATTTTCTGAGCTATCCTTAGCCCTTATCTTTCAAATCACATAAAGTCACTGGCACAGAGGGACTTATTCCTTCAGGAAAGGCAGGGAGGGAGGGAGCAGCTGAAAGACACATCTGAAATATTACCAACAACCCTCTTGACTTGAAAACTGATTTCCTAAGACAGCAGCTCCAAAACTAAATGTCCCAACCAGAAGTGGAGGCACGCCAGGCTAAAAAAGAAATCAACAGCTTTATTGTCATTGCCCAGAGAAATGCCACTATGATTTGGAAAGCTGCACTGAAATAATCATTCTCTACTAGGTTTTGGAAATTTAACCTGATGGAGATTTGTGTTAAAAAGTAGCACTGGGAGAAAAAGCAATTCCAAAATTCTCCCTGCCTTCAAACCCCTAGAAATATTAGAAGACAACTACAATGCTTGATTTCTTTTCCACATACTTATCCTCACTGAAGATAGTTCAGGGATAAAAGAAAGTTGCTTTTTTAAAATGAAATGTTTAATACTAATTTAAACCAATTTTAGAAAATAAACATAAAAGGAGAGGAGTGGCACTCTAGGGCCCTAGGCAGGACAGAAGAATTAAACTTTGGAGACCATCAGGGGGACTGTCCTGTCTTCTGAGTTGCAGCATTGTAAGCCCCAGGAAGCACAGATGAATTACTCATGGAGAATGCTTTTGTTTCAACACTAGACTTTAACTGTTACTGTTGTCATTTAAATTTATGATTTTTTTAAATTCAGGCAGCAAAAAGAAGAGCTCTCCCAAACTGATTTGGGAACTAGTCCCTACTAAAAGTATGCAGATAATGCTTAGACATTCAGAATCTCATATATATATATATACAAGCATTTTTAATTGGAGTCCACATTTCAATATTTATTGGTTATCTATTACAGGGCGTTTTAATAATATGGGAAAAGGAGGAAAATCTCCCCACAAATGTACCTATGCTGAGTATATTGATATTTTGACATGATCTTTAAGCTTTATTACAACTGAACTATATACAATACACAACAAACCTCCCTTACCCCTGAACTATAAAAATCCTTTTGTTAAAAAAATTTCTCACCAAGCACTATGATGAATTTGAGATCTTGACAGACACTGTACCTGGACAACTGCAAACAAATTTAATTGGTTTGAAGACACATATGATGTGGCCAAATGTTTGAAGACATATTCAAACCACATACTAGCAACAATAAGAGACAAGCTGACATCAAGGAATGGTATGTCAAAGACATACTATTTGGCAATTTTAAAAAGAAAAATGTGTCTTTCTTAATGTTTACATGGATGTTTTGATGCCACCTTATCAAAAAATATCTTACTTTCTTATGTCATATACTATTTTACCTAGCAAGAATCATAGACCTTATAGGTCAAGACTGGAGGTAGAGAGGCAGGTACAAGGAAAGGGATGCTGAGGCCTGGCCAAACAGGCCTCTGGAAGAGGGAAAGGTATAGTCAGACAGCTGTTGGCCTTTCCTAGCCTTCAACACCCAGGGATCTATGGTTCCATACGTGTTTTTTCAGCCAAGTCTCAAACTGGGTGGAAAGGACAGTTTCCAAGAGTGAGGTTGACCTGACAATTATACACACAACTGACAGCACACCTAAGAGAAAGGAGAAAATGTGACAACAAAGGCAGGCTAATAATAATGCCTGAGATATTTTTATTCAT